TATTTTATATATATATATATATATATATATATATATATATATATATATATATATATATATATATATATATATATATATATATATATATGAGTGTGTGTGTTACACCTTATATTGAGGAAAGAATACTACATCTCGCATAAAAATTTTTGCACCACATCCCATTTTCTTAGAATCTTGTGATAGAAATTTGATTTTTTTAAAAATCTAAAAAAAAAAAGATTATATAATATTAAATAACAACATATACCAATATCTTAAACTTTTAAAATGCTAAAAAATTAAATAGTCTTAACTAAAGACATGACAAATTACCACAAACAGAATTACTTTTATTCTTATTTATAACAGAATTACTTTCATTCTTATTTAGTTATATTATTTTATAAACTTTACTTCTCACAGTAAATCAGGTAAAAAAAATAAAATTAGTTTTTACATAAATTTTTAAACTTTTTTTATAAATAAAATAGTGGACACATGGAACCGTTTACCACAAGATATTGTGGATGCAAAAAACTTAAATACATTCAAAACCCTTTATGACAATTATATAAAAAACTGTAAAAAGCTGTTTCAGTCTGACATCTAATTTTGTTAGACTTTATACACTGTAATGTGTATCACAGCATGTTTCTTTATTTTATTTATTTATTGTAACTTTAGGTAATTAACTTACCAAATATATTAAAAAAATAATAATAACTTTGATTTTTAAATAAATTTTATTTGATTTAAAATATTTTTCCAGAAGAAAAAAAATACGAAAAAATATTATATTTTTTAAATTATTAAATATAAATAAACATTTATATTTAATAATTAAGTTTAATAATTAAGTTTATTCAAATTATATTACCTTCATTTGCATTTTTTCATTTTTTTGCTTTTTTTTTTTCGTGAGATGGCATGGTCTCTACCATGAATGCATTCTAAATGTTTAACCCCTAATACTATGAATGGATGACCGTTGAATAGAATCTTTTGTTCAAGGTTTGGTTCTACTTTTTTGTCTTCAAACAATATTTTATGTTTTGTCAATTCAAACTCTAGAATTTTAAGAGTAAATTAAAGCCCTTCACCTAAAAATTATTTGTTTAATTTTAGTTTTAAACTATAATAAACAAACTTTTTAACTAAACTATATACAAACTTAATATACTTTTAACAAATGTCACTTATGAAATTATTATGCTAGTATTAGTATAATATACTACTATAATATTATAGTATATTATAGTAAGTAACATGGTGTATATACCTTTGGCCCAAAATTCTTTATCGATCATGAAAAGTTTGAAGATGTTTGTTGTTCAAAAGTGATAATATGAGCAGATGAGCAGTAGGTTCCTCCAAATTATTATAGATACCATATTTGAATCCTTTCTTTCCAATCGTAGTATAAAAGTTGTCCTTGATGGACAGCACTCTTCTTCTTATTCTGTAACCTCAGGGGTTCCTCAAGGTTCAATCCTTGGCCCTATACTCTTTTTAATTTACATTAACGATCTTCCAGATATTCTCACATCTAAGGTGGCATTGTTCGCTGATGATACTACCATTTATTCTTGTCACGATAAGAAGCCAACTCTCTCTGATTGCTTGCAAGGGGCATTTGAGCTTGAAAAGGATCTCACTTCTGCTACAGCATGGGGCTCACAGTGGCTGGTGAACTTTAATTCAGATAAAACTCAATTTTTTTCTATATACCTTCCTATATTTATGAACGGTAATGTACTTGATGAGTCATCTACCCTTTATCTTCTAGGATTAACTCTCACTTCTGATCTTTCTTGGAAACCTTATATCAAATCCGTTGCAAAATTAGCATCAGCTAAAGTTGCATCTCTTTATCGAGCTCAACACTTTCTTACTCTGGATTCTATTCTCTATCTCTATAAATCTCAAATCTGACCTTGTATGGAATACTGTTGTCATATCTGGGGCAGATCTTCTAATGATGCCCTTTCTTTTTTAGACAAGGTGCAAAAACGCATTGTAAACATAGTTAAACCTGCCCTTGCAGCCAAGCTTCAACCTCTGTCACATCGTCTTAATGTTGCTTCTCTTTCTCTTTTCTACAAATACTATAATTGGCACTGCTCTAAAGAGCTAGCATCTCTTGTGCCATCTACAAAAATTCATTCTTGTGTTACTTGTCATTTAATTAAGTCTCATACTTTTTCTGTTACTGTTCCTAAGTGCTCCAAAAACTCTTATTCATCTAGTTTTTTTCCAAGAACATCAGTTCTTTGGAATTCGCTTCCTTCATCTTGCTTTCCTGATTCATATAATTTGCAATCTTTGAAGTTGTCTGTCAATCATTATCTTGCTCTACAATCTTCATCTTTTCTCTTCCAGTAACTTCCAACACTAATTAGTGGTTGCTTGCAACCTTGTTGGAAGCGAAGATGTTAAAAAATATATATTTATATATTTATCTGAAAAAATAATTAAGTAACCAATTTAATTAATTATAAAACAACTTTCAACTACAGTTGGAAGTAACATCAGGTTCTGTCAATTTACCTTATAGAACCTGATACTGATTTGAGTTAAGTATCTATGTAGCCATTCAGTGACACTGACAGTGTCACTGAATGGCAATGAATGAAAAAAATCATTTAAATTAGTAAAAATCTGGTCTGTAAAATAGATGATTTCTGGTCAATCCTGACAGATTTCAAAAAAAAAAAATTTGGAATTTTATTTTCTTATAGTTAATTGGTATAGTATTTATGGAAAATTTCAAGTCAAATGTATCATCGGTTCAAAAGTTATTCAAATATCAATAATACTCTCATTTTCGGTGCCATTTCGCAGTATATTTTCCATACTTAAATTTTCCATACTTAAATTCCATACTTAAATTTTCCATACGTAAATTTCCCATACTAAAAATTTTCCATAGCCCTATACCTTTTGTCAAAAAATCACCTGTTTTTTCACTACAAAAAGGTCAATAACTTTTGATCCGCTTAACTTCAAAGCCCAAATGACCCCTCATTTTTTAAGTCAAACCAAGCTCTATACAATGACAGCAATTATATTTGAATATTTTAATTATAAAAAAATCGTCTGGAATGGATATTATCCATTCTAATATATATAATATATAATGTCCATTCTAATAGAATCACATTCTAATAATATCCATCTAATATTATTAGATGGATATTATTAGAATGTGATTAATTTACAGTTTTTATTAGTAATAAAAACTGTTAACCTTTTGATAAAACTGCTTTATTTGATAGGCAGTTCATGTAAAGATTTTTTTTTGTTATTTTAATTTTAATATTCATAATAATGTGCAGTTAAGCATAGAGATAAAAATATTAATATATATTATAAAAATATCTTTAAATTAAACAAAATTGATACATATAAAAATATCAGATTCATACCATTTACAAAGATAAAAACCACTGTACTCAAATGCAGTAAAAACAAATAATTGGAACATAATAATAAAAGAAATAAGATAAATACATACTACAACATAATTCTAAATTTTTAATAAATAAAATTACCTCACAATCTTAGCTAAAAAGAATAATATCACCTTTTTCAAAATCAATTAATAAAGGAAATGACCATACTTTATCAGGTTTGTTATCATACTTAACAAGATATGTGGTTTGTTAGCATTTAATTGATCAATTTGTACTACTTGTGCACGTTCTCAAAATACTTCAAGAGAATCTTTTTCTCTAACACGATGTTGTATAGAAAAAGCTAAAAATCAGATGGATTGTTAATAAATTTTGATAAGGAATATTTTTTATTTTGATAAGGACTATTAATTTCTTTAGTTTTGCATCCTGAATTTTTTCCATTAATTCTTTTTTTTTTGCTTTTAACAGCTGCATCATGTATTATACAAGGCTTTGAATGACTACTTATATTACTTAAAGATTGTTTGTTTGGTGTTAAATTTGCTTGAATAGCAATAAGAAGATTTTGATATAATTCCTCTGAAGACAAGTTTTTCATTTTGCTCTCTTCTATTTTTGTTTTACAAAAAAGTTTAAATTGAAATCTACGCAACATCTACAATATATTGTATGATAAGATGTACCTTTTAATGTCAAATACCAATCATAAATACTTTCATTGATCATTTTATCTAAATAAATATAGATTTTCCAGTCATCATTTCAAACAAATATATAAATTTATTTAATTTTATATATATATAATATTTATGTAATATAATATAAAATAAATAAAAGACTTTCAAATTAATTTAAATTAGTCAAATATTTTATAAATGTTTAAATGTGTTTAAATGTGTGTGTATAAATAAATAAATAAATAAATATATATATATATATATATATATATATATATATATATATATATATATATATCATTGGCGGACTGGGACTAAAAATCAGCCCGGGCATTTCATTTTGGACCGGCCCACATTAGAGGAAAATTAATTAACTATTTTTTTTATAATTTAACTATGAAATTTTTAACAAATTTTTTAAGAACAAATATGTTTATTTTAAATATTCAACTAATTAAGAATTTTCAAACAACTAAAAGATTTTTAAACAGATCACTTGTTTCAGCTAGCTCGTCAATTATTGTTTTGGGATCAAGATTGCTTAGAATTTCCTTTTCAGTATTCATGAGCATGAATGATTGTAAATTTTCTTGAGCCATACTACTACGCAAACGACTTTTGATGAACTTTAAAATTGAAAAACTTCTTTGACATGCAAATTGCGTAAATGAGAGTGACAAAGTATATTTATAAGCTAACCCAATTTTTGCGTATGCTTCACTTATTAAATTATATTGAATCAAAACAAGGTAGCAACAAACTGTGCAGTTTTTACAGGCAGTACATGACTTTCGACAATTATATTCAAGTTCCTCAACACTTTCTTTGTTTATATCCATTATGTCATATGTATTCAAAAGTGACTCTTTGATATTATTCCAGTTTGAAGCAAAACTAGTAAGCTCAGTGCGTAAATTTTCTGCTGTAACTTCTTCATCAAACGGCAATAGATGTTCACTCAATTTATTTAAAGCAGATGTTGGTACACTATGCGCTTTCAACTGTTCAAAATTTGAAGGACTTAGAATAGCAAAATCAGCATAAAATTCTCGACATTTTTTAAAACGTTTGCTCATGCTTTCTATTATGCTTTTAAATATTAGATCATGAACTTTAACTTTATAAGAGTTAAGTACATCAGAATGAAATTTAAATTCACTTGGACGAGTTTCGCCTGATAATACTTTTTTCTTTCGAATTCTTTTTTCTGGTAGAGTATTCTCTGCTTCTAATTCATGTTGTTCAAGTTTTTCATTAACTTTACAGACAAAATTATTAGTAGCTTCCAATACTATATCAAATTCCTCTAAATACTTTTTCAATGTGTCTATCGTTTGCGTGTTGTATGCAACCAAAATGTCCATATTTACTGTTTGTAAATATTTTGAGAGCGGTGTCATCAACTGAAAAACCCGTAAAAAAATTTGTGCAGTTAAAATTGTGTCATACTTAAGAAGTCCTTCTTTGAAGCCTTTTGCTTTTACTCGAACTTCAGATTTGAAACTTAAATTGACTTCAATATGAGACAATGCAACTACAAGTTCAACGTAGAAACTAGAATACGGATTGGCAAAGGTACCAAATATTTTTGTTAACGCTGCATCCTTTGACCACCAACGTGTTTCACCAATAGTTGAAATTCTGCGATTGTGTATATCATTCTGATTTTCTGTTTCAAAAATATTCATTCTTGTATATGATTCACGAATAAACACTGCTACGTCATTCAACAAATTAAACAAGGAAATACTGGATAAAACGACACTACAAGTATCTGAAATAACCAAATTTAAAACATGAGCATAACACCATACATGTATTTGGTTTGGATTTTCTTTGAACATCCATGCTGCGAAACCGTTATACTCACCATTCATGTTTGCAGCTCCATCTGTTGAATTACCAACACACTTTAAAATATCAATGTTCAATGCCTTTAAAGTTTCAGATACTAAACTCGACAGATACTTGCCAGTTGAAGAGTCGCACGCAGTCATAGTTAATAATCTTTCGTGAATCTGATCAGTTACATACCTCACAACTATTGAGCATTGATTTTTAGTTGTTATATCTTCTGTTGTATCAATTTGAACTGAAAACATACCAGCTGAGTTAATTTCTTTTGCAATGATTTTCTGTATGGAACGACTCGTAATTTGAATGAGTTTTGTTATTGTGGTTTTTGAAAGAAAAGTAACCATGGAACCTCTTCCAGTACTTCCTGTGTTCTTCCGTTTTTCACTCTGTTCAATGCAACTATTTAAATGTTCCTTTAAACAAGTATCATATTTACTGACAAGTAACACCATTTCTAAGAAATTTCCATGATCAATTGAATTATCTGACAATGTATAAGCAGCTTCAAACTCATGTCCCCTGTAACTAAGACCACGTTTTCCAATTACTTTAATAATTTCTATCACCCGCAGGAGCACCAGACGTTGCTATTGAACTTGCTCTTGACGTACAGAAATTTGAGTAGAAAACAGTAAATTTGAGACGTTGGATCTAGATACATGTTGGAAATAGTTTTCTGTGCATTCGTTATGCGATGCTGATTTTTCATGTTCATCAACTCTTTGATGAATGTGTCTTCTATCTGTCATTCCACTAACAAAAGAACTCATTACAACAGTTGGTAAAAATGCTAAACATATTGAACAATATAATGCATCGTTGCCTTCAGAGTAAGATAACCATTTACGATTCGTTCCATTTTTCTGTACAAAAGATTTCACAATAATAGGATCTCTGGTAGTTTGAATTGGATGGATTTCAAAAAATTTATTGAGAAGTGTTGATGGTGGACGAGAAAACCAGTCAATATTTTGTTCTACAATAATTACACCTTGATCAACAACCATATCACTATCACAAGCAGGATGATGGCTGACGGTTTCTGTGATGCTAATGTTTGAATCGATCTGAACTTGAATCTCATTTTGTGTACATTCTGACAAATTTTCAACTGCTACATCGCCACTATTTAGTACTTTATTAGTTGCTGTAATATCTTCAGATTCGGTTCCAGTCGTTGACGTTGTGTTATTATTGGAATTAATTTGGATCTGTACATCATTTTTACTTTTTGTTGTCACTTTTTCATCAGCTTTACTTATATCAGGATTTCTGTTGGGAATGAAATCGCTTATTTTAAGACATTTGTTAGCTGATAATTTCATCAATTTTTGGTTTTTCTCTCGTAATTTTTGAGCTCCTCCTTTTCTTTTTTTGGGTTCACTCATTTTAAAAATCTATTATTATATATAGTTTTTAAACGATATTATTTTCCTATGCTTATATTGATTTTCAAGATAAATTAAGATTGCGCGGGGTTTTTATCTTCTTACAATTTTGATTGGTTAGCATAATTCGAAATTGGTATCTATGACAGCGTTTGGGTTTATTGAAGACTTTATAGTGATTTG